GTAATTAGCTTTCATCTCAAATTACTTTGAAGTCCTCCTTTTAAACTACACCATAAGTTTGAGCTAATTTTTTTTATTGATAGTAAAAACTAAAATTACTATATGCATAAATCCAATTTTATATACTTCTCTTATAATCTTAACGTGAAAACAGAGTTGGCACTGCCATGTTAACTAACAATAAAATTACGCTTACAAATGTTTCATACAACTTTTTTATACAACCCTGATGTGATAGCTCGTATTTGGACAGACGAGACCTATTGTGAACTGATCGATCGTGAGTTGTCATATCAAGGTTGTATCATTGTTTTAAAAATCGGACCATTCCTTGACCCGATCAAGGGGTCGATTCCCGAGTTGATCGGTTCAATCGGTTAGACCAATCGGTCTGACCGGTATACAATATACAGATCTCTAAATAATTTTTCAGTCCTTATAAGTTTAAAAGCCCACAAATATACTCCTAAAATTTACGCATGAGTCCTTGTATATTTAAAATAACTTGCAACTTTTATTATTAATTATTTTTTTCTCTCTTCCCATCACTTTCATCTTTCTTTTCTTTTCTTTCTCCCCATCACTTTCATCTTTCTCATTTTTTCTCTTTCCCCCGTCATTTTCTTCTTTCTTCTATCCCTTTCCCCTTTTTCCAATAACTTTTTTCTCTTTTCTCTTTCTTCTTCCTTCCTCCTTCTCTGTCTCCTTTTTTCTTTCTTCTAATCTTCTTCCTTCCTCTATTCTTCTTTGTCTCCTCTTCTCTTTCTTCTTCCTTTCCCTCTTCTTACTTCTTCTTTTTTACATGATAGATTTTAGAGTAAGTGAAGAAGAATAGAAGATGAAAATGAAAGATGCAATTTGGTCTTTAGAGATGAAAATAGTATTGAAATGAAATAAAGAATGCTTGTTGGCTCAATAAAATAGAGAATAAAACGATGCTGCAAATCTGGTTTAGGAATTAGGGATCAGATTAACCCTAAAACAGTGAACATTTTAAGCTCCAAACTAGTCGGACCAGCGATTTTTACAGTTCTGTCGGTCTATTACTGGTCCAAAGCGGGTTTATGTTATTTCCAGTTTTTATGTTAACTCGGATTGGAGTTAAGGTCGGTTCCTGGTCTAACCGATCGGACCGGCCGGTCCGGTTCAAGTTTTAAAACAGAGGGTTGTATAAAAAGATTGTATAAAAAAGTTATAAGTGTAGTGTTGCTCTTTAACTAAACACGAAAGGTCATTCTTTAGAAACAAACCACTATTCATTTAAAAGGAATGATTGTTTTATTTATAAAGAATAATTGTTCCTTCATAAGGAATAATCGTTCCATTCATAAGGAATGATTGTTCATTCGTAAGGAACAACTATTCCATTTACAATGAACGGTTGTTCTTTCGTGAGGAACAGTAATTCCTTATGAATGAACGGTCATTCGTCCTTAAGAAACGATCGTTCGTATTTAATTAAAGTTATTTAGTGCATTAGGTGTAGTAGGAGTTGACGTGATAGTTGTCAACTAAGGAAAAGGTAATGAGATTAGATAATGGGCATAGTATTCCTCTACTGATAGAGATATATGGGCTAAATGCCTAGTCAATAACAAAACAAACTTCGATCCATTAAAAAAATATTGATTCTATAGGCAGGCTAATCACTTTAATAAACTATTCTTGAGAAGGGTAATCTATATTTTTCTTGATGTGGACAGGATTCAATTTTAATAGATCAACCCACGTCTACACTAATATGAACAGAAGAATTGAGAAGACTTCTCTGCTTCTAAGGAAAAATAAGGGACTAAAGTGAGCAACTGGGAAAGCTTGCTTGCCTTTAGTAATATATATTAACAGAAGAAAATAATCTTTTAACTGAAAAAGAAGAAAACAAAGGGACTAATGGAGCAGTTGGGAAAACTCCAACAAGGTAGAGGAATCTTTGTTCAGAAAGTGGCAAGTGGCTCAATAAAGAGAACTTTTGCAGGCCTAGACCAATATATATTTGCCCAATACCACAATCTACTTGACAGAAAAGGTCAGAAAACAGAAGAAGAAGAGTATAAAATATAGTATTGAGACATGCATGCATGAGTCAACATGACAGAAGTTTTGTATATATTAGACATGACCAATTTCCATGCACAATCAGTTCTAAGTAATTAGCTGGTAAAGATACAATTTTAGAGATGGGAAAGGCAAGCAAATGGATGATAAACTTCTTGTTAGGAAGAAAGGATCAGGAGAAAGACAAAAAGAAAGATGTTGTTTTTCTTAAAGAAAGTGTGCTACCAAGTCCAACACCCCCAAGTATGAAGAGGAGATGGAGCTTTGGAAGATCATCAAGCAAAGAGAAATCTCATAAGAGTTCCAAATCCCTTGACTTGATCACCACAAGCTCAGTTGTAAGACAAGCCATATCGGAGTTGCAGAATCAGCAGATCAATAACAATTTGGCTTTGGTTGTGGCGCCACCAAAACCTGCAAGAGGTGGAATAATAAGCAAAGCAGTTAAACATGCAGCTGCCACCAAAATTCAAGCTGCTTATCGTTCTTATTTGGTACTAATCTGAACTTGTATATATTTCTATGAATGCGTAATAAATAAGTGAAGTGTTAATATATGAATGGTTTGAAATGTTTTGCAGGCAAGGAAAGCATTGTGTGCTTTGAGAGGACTGGTGAAGTTGCAAGCACTGGTAAGGGGTCACATAGTGAGGAAGGAAACAAGTGCTGCTCTTCGAGGCATGCATGCGTTGATGTCAATCCAAGTTAGAGCTCGGTTTCAGAGGCTGCAGATGGCTGAGGAATCTCAGCTTCTTGTTAAAAGCCAATCTTTAAGACACAGCACACATATTCCTCAAGACATGGGAATTGGATTCACAAGAGCACACAAAGTAAGCCTTGCTATTTCTTTCCCATCCTGCATATTTTCCTTAGAATGTTAATTTTCCAATCACCCAAAAATGGGGTATATATAAACAATGGAGTTTAAAAATAGAAGGAAAAAAAAAAAGAAAAAAAAAGCATACACAGCGACAGTTTTTTGTGTTATGAAAACACTAACAGGGGATTTATGATTTTGACTGTTGCCAGGAAGCAATTGACCCAAATCTTTATGAAACACATGGGATTTCCCAGAGGAAATATGGGTATTTGAATCATGCACAAATTGGGAGGATAGAGCATGGTGTCACCACATTTTTTTCAGGAGAGCTTTCAATCTCAAAGCGAGAACATCACCAATATGAGGAGATATCTTTCTCCACAGCACAGAATACTCCCAGACATTATCAAAAACTGCCCAACACTTTTCCAGGAAGAGCCTCTTTCAGCAATCAGCAACCAGATTATTCACATGCTGTGTGTCATGAACCAAATTACATGTCCAAGACAGAATCTTCCAGGGCCAAGTCTAGGTCACATAGTGAACCAAAACAGCGTCCCAAATGGAGCATGAAACCGAAAACAACCAAACGAACAGCTTCGCTGGATCGAACCAATGTCCTGGCAGACCCTCAAACACAACGGTCTTCTCCATGTTCAACCAATGTCCTGGCAGACCCTCAAACACAACGGTCTTCTCCATGTTCAACTACGGTTGTTCACGAAAACCAGGATCCTTGGTTCATCAAGCTTTATAGATCAAAGAGGATCATCAGGGACAGTGAGTCTGATGCCAACAGCACAGCAACCAGTCGTTCCAAATACTGCAACTCTCTGATGCCATATGAGGCAAGTTATGAAAGAGACTTACTTCACTGGCTATAGACAGCTTTTGTTGAATCTTTGGTTGCCTGATGTGTTGATTTATTTGACTGCTGCCCCATTTGACCCTGTACTAATAAATCATGGCTTGCTACCTTGACACTGCTCGGACGATTTTAGGAAGAGAGAACAGACGATATACATGACAACTGATTCAAGTTTCAATAAAAGAACAAGTTGAGAAATTTAGATGGTATTGTGGAAATAAACAGGAGAGTAGAGATCAATGGTTTCTAACTCATAAATCAAATGTCAAAAGTATTTACACCATGACCAACATCTTATAATAAACTTCAGTGCTAGCATAAGAGTAAATCTGTTTTCAGGAAGCAGAACAGCTGCAGTTATGGAGGAGTTGATGAATTTCAGGAGGAAAAAAAAAATCAAATGCATAAATATAAAGATTATTAATGAAACAAGTTCCAAATATTCGCCTTGTTATATATATAAATATGTATGTATACACACACACACACAGGGTAGTTCAAGAGAACAATATGTAGCAACAAAAGGACGAATACAAAATTGTATGTAAGAGGACACAATCTTCTTTGTATTGCCATTTGTATATCTGGGACTCCATGTATCTCTAGCATATACCAATAACAGTGAGTTCAGTAATGTATAATCTCCATGCCACCTGCATGTGTACGGAATTCCATAAACAAGAAAACATATGTTACATGCATGTCTCATGGAATTGGTAACAACTAAACTTCATCGACTCCAATTTCCTTAAACAGGAGAATGTACAAAGTCAAATAACCAATATATGGCTTTGTCAATTGACTGATGTGGAAAAAAAAAAGCATAATCTTTCAAATTTGTGTTACTGAACCAAATGGTAATGCATTTAAAACTTTACTGGGCATCAAGTTAGGAAACTTGGGGAGAAAAAAACCCATAAACTTCATCAACAAGGTAAAATTACTAATACGTAGAACAAGACTCTACCTAATTTCCTCGCACTTCATTCTTGATTCTCATGGATTACAATCTTTCTAGATAACACATCTGACTGTCCCAAATAACTAAATCTCTACAAGAGGTGATGTGCTCACTGATTTAATGTTTTGTGGAATGCAACCTGAAAAAGACAGGAAAGTGGAAGTTAGGCAAACAGAAGGAATGGTTTAGTTGAAATGTTTGATTTGAAGATTAATGTCATAAAGACAGACAAAAGGAAATGAAATCACATACAGATGTTGATGTTTTCAGAAGCTCTCTTATGGCCATTGTGGCATAACATGAAGTCGGAAGAGTAAACCCCAACTTGAGTGCCATCTGGACTTCCTGAGAATCAGACCCATGAAGCGATTTGAATTGTGGCACTCTTAACTCTCTGCCGCAATCTGCTTCATTATCGTCTGTTGAAAGCTTTATTACATTTTCTAAGCTTTCAAATTGTTCTATGCAATCAGAGGGATCCTTTTTCTCATCTCCACCGACCAGTTCCTCTTCTTTTATTATGCTCAGAGGTTTAGCTTTGGCAATTTTGTCCAAATCTGTCTCAGCCAATGGTTTACTGGCATCAGTGTACTTGAGTAACTCCCTGAGACAACAGAAATTACATCCAGTAATTTTGCAGTAAAGAAAAATCAAGAGAAGAAAATGATAACAATAATAATGTGAGAACACAAAAAATGATACCATTCAAAATCCAACAGCTTTTGAAACACCTGCCGGTAACTTCCAGTCATACTGGTTATTGAGAATTCCCTTATAAAATAGGCATACATACAATTTCAATTAGAAATTTTTACATAAAAAAAGACATGACCAAGAAAAGAGAGAAAGACAGGGTTAAGGGACATGTATTGCAACATACTTGACATTATGAACAATCTCTGTCAAGTTGATCCCATCCTGCTCAATGCAAATAAACAATAACTAACACTAGAAAAGAAGGAAAAAGAAGAATAAAAGAAAGCTTTTAGGTAATGTAGGTGAATTAAGAAAAGTAAACCCTCCAAACAAAAATATATTGTTTCTGTCAAGCAAATCAATGTAGGCACATCCATTTATGCATCTGATTGTGTTTGTCTCCAGAAATCTGTTTCAGCAGAATGCAGATAGGCAGCCTCACAACTGAATTTCTAGGGTTTATAGTGAAATTATACTTATATTTAATTATATCCTGTTGTAATCCTCCATTTCAATGAGACCATAATTAGCAGTTTTTCCTTGGGACAAGTCACCATCGCCCCATGGTTTTGTCCCTAAACCTAACCTCATTTAGGCATGAATATGCATGCTAGCTTTTAGGCCTTCTCTCTCACTGAGCTGTGTGCATACACTAATCAACCAAGATAAAAGAAAGGGAAATAGAAAGTATAAAAGAACAGGCACCATAAAGGCCTCAGCAGCATCTAGAATACACCATACCTTCTTTGCCAGACGATGATAAACTTCAGCAACTTCATTTGTGGGATAAATCACTCGGGAACTGCCAAACAAGAAAACAATTGTGTTGGATAAGAAAGAAATATTTTTTCACAACTGAAACATGCAAAATGAAGAACATAATTTACGTCTCCCCTTACCCAGGCATAGGAAGAATGACATCATCAATAGTATATTTTCCAGTATGGATATCTTCTGCAGTTGCAGTCTGAAACATCAAAAGAAGCTATCATTCTTAAATTAAAGAAATTAGGCGAACATTTACATGTTAGATGACAGAAACATTACTATACCATCAATTCTAAGCAGAAGTTAAATGTAAACGAAGTATTTCCTTCTACATTCATGTCATAAGATTCCACTGCTAACATAACTTGGTAAACTAGATTTTTGTCATATCAAGCTAACTCTCGTCCATTTGTTAAGCTACAAGGATTTTGTCATGCTAACATGACATAAAAATAAAATAGGCATGAAATGACACTGCATCATGCCCTTAATAGATCATCACAAATTAGACCAAATATATGGAATCTAGTTCATGATTTTTACGTAGGAAAATTCCACAGTAATAATTCATATAAATAAATCCGGACGCCTCCAAAATTCTCACTAACTGATTACAGGTTTTTGATAGGGACTAATTAATTCTTTATTAATGAATGAATCACCAACAGTGCAGCAAATAATGGAACTATTTTCCTTTATACTTTTATTCAAATAAATTACAATAAAGAGAGACATGTCCTATTCTCTTCTACATAGTTTCTCACATCTGAAAGAATATCTTCAAGGACATCATACATAAAAGGCAGGTCAAACAGCAGAATGCTACAAGAGATGATAATAAAAATAGGTTGCTGATCAGATCTGTGCAGATGCTCCCAAAGAACAACCTATATTGAATTTTTTCTTCTACTTGGTCTACGTACACCCTATGAGATTGGTTCTACATCAGAAATAGCAAAAAATTTAAGCAAGCAGTATGATATAAACCTGACCTTAACAAGATTATTCCTTCCTACAGGAAGTTCTGTAGCTGAGACCTCATCTAATTGACCACAATCATCTATGTCATTACAATTCTCAGCCTCACATTCAGAATTAACACATGTCAGCTCCTCAGTATTATCTGCTTTAGAATATACTAAGTCTCCCACCACAACTTGCTCAGTTCCTGTATAGTAATAACATAACAGAATTCAGATGTCACTTCCAAATGACACAATAAAGCTTTGATAATAACCATTACAACAGCGGATGTAGTTATGTGCACAGAATGCTAGAGGAATTTAGATTTGTAAAAACAAAATAAGCATACCGTATTTTTCCACTCTCATACTTGCTGCATGGTTCCACAAGTAGCTTTGGTAACTATGTACATACCTAAACAATAGAGCAGCAACAATATTGTTAACTGAAATTTATAGAAAGATATCTCCTTTTGCCTCTTGTTTGATTGCATGCAAACATGTATATATTGCTGTAAGTTCTAATGATTGCCCCACAACACTGTGCTATAAGGTATTTAGTAACTCATTTGCAGGCATAAGTTGCATATATGCAAAGTTAGCCATGGTTTTAATGTGATGTAGCAAAGAAATAACTCAAAGATACATTATAGTGTTTCAGGGTAGACCAGCTTCACTAATATTTCTTTTTTTTTTTTTTTTTTTTTTTTCTGAGGCAAGCTTTTTCACAGATCAAGTGTATGAAATTATGTACTCATATATACTGAGTAATTCACTCACATCATTCTCAACGTCCTAGGTATAGCCTTCAGGGCCTGCAAGAAATTCCCAGGACATTTCTTCAAACACTGCAGCTGCATAAGAATAAAAAGGGAAAAGGATGATGTTAATCAAAGCACACAAGTATTAACTTAATCTTCAGTAGTAACAGAAAATATGAAGATCAGAACTGAGACAAGGACGTGATCAACAGAAACTGCAATAAAGGTGGCAAATAAAGAGTAAAACACCAAGTTTCTGAAAGACATCGAAAATTAAGAAAGTAATTCTCACAAGATCTTATGCAAGCAATACATATTAGAACTTAGCAGACACCCAAACAAGATTATGCAAAAGCAACCAGAATCAAAAACTTACAATAGCCCTTTCAGCAACCAAATGGCGAGGTAGTTTTCTTAGAGTCCCGTCAATGTCATCAGTTTCCTTATAATATTCTCTTGCCTTGCTTATCTCATTTCTTTGTAATTAAAAATTATAAGTCAAGAAAAACAGCAAATGTTTTTCAAATGACAATGAATTCAAGCATATGAAACATCCTCCTAGCAAGATTCAAAAACAATAAAAAGGATATCCCCTTCCCTTGGGTCAAGAATCATGCTTACGGCAGCTTTCCACTCTCCTCGAAGTAATGTGGCTCCAACAAGTTGAGTTGGCACAGAACCACTACCAAAACGCTGAGAAAAATTATACACTGTGGATAAGCAGAGTTTAAAAAGCCATAATTCAATTTAACACAAATATGCACACATCACATGATAAGCTCCCTCACATATATAATATTTTCAACACAAAAAATAAAATTAAATTAAAAAAAATTGTTATAGAGGTTATGACCAAATGGAAGTGGTTCAAATGAAGAAAGTATTAATCAAAAGGAAGTAAAACATAATGAGAAAGAGAGAGATAGATGATCAAGTACTTGCAAACCAAAGTAGTTGATGAACCCAAGCCTTCCTAATGAGTTTGCAGATGCCTTGATGACATCTTCAGAATTTGCAACAACTCCTCTGAGGAGATAGTACACACCATGAGACATTGGCAAAAAAGGTTAGCCATGATTATAACAAAAGAGAATGTAAAAATGGAATCCATGTTGTACAGAA